TTCTTATTTGAGCTGGGTTTGGGGTTTGAAGGCCTGCCTTGTTAGAGTATCAACACTCGGGTATACAACCATTGAATCTAATAGGCCCATTTTTTTGGTTTATGTGTTTAGGATAACGTTCTTTTGCAGGACTAAAAATGAGATATAAACTCTTATATCGAAAGAATTGTAAATTTGAATCACACATTGATACAATAATCACTAGTCTAGCAAGCAAGATAGCATTTCCTCGTATACTAATATGATTTTGCATGAAATTTGAGCTACTCACTAGTTACTACGCATTATCTCCAAAATAGGTAAAGATGAGTACCCTTTCTTTTGTTTTGATTCATTTCCTCACGGCACACTTGAAAGCTGGTTTCATCAGTCACGGGGTTGAATATAGTGACATTAATTTGGTATTTAATTACGGCTTGCCTCAATAAGATGGTACTACAAACTCTGCATTCAGATTGCAGCACAATGCTTCTCTGAATCTCTGTAGGCCCATTTTAATGAAATGGGGACCAGCCATCCCCACTCATGAACAACAAAGATACATGGTAAGATTCACTTGCATTAATAACTCACAGTGATTTACCAGCGTATAAACTAGTGCTGCCACTGCTCGAGTCCATTAACAATATGTCAAATGGATCACCATTTCTTTTCCAACATCAACTTAACATGTTCTGCCAAGTTGTCAATTAACACTTAGTTTAGTGGTATTTCTCTTTCTAATGTTGAAAGAATTTTCCCGTTCAAACCCCGTCCCTTAATAATAACATGTTAGTCTAATAATTTATGTAATAATTACACGACTGCCATATAATTGGCATAATCAGTGATCACAAGCTCTTAACATAACATGATAAAGATTTATAATGACCATTGCTTCACGTCATGGTCGGTTGGAGAAGACTTGAAAAATTAGCATAGGCGGCTGTTTACATTTTACTTCCCAAGTTGTTTTTTGTTATGTTTTTATATAAGCGATATTTTACTTTAATTTAATCTAAACTATAAGAATAAATATTCAAACTTAGATGCAAAATGGCGAGCACATCCACTTTAACCAATTTAACTTAGTCCATGTTTGCACTCAAGTTGTTTTATAGTCTTTATAATTAAAGTGCGGGGCTGCTTTCTTTCGCGTTTCTCGTTTAGGCTGGATTTTAGACTTAGTGCATCCAATAGACAAAAAGTTTCCACTTCAAAAAAATAAAAAACCCCATTTCCACTTGTTAGGTTAGATTCGTTGATGTTGATAATTTATTAGTGTTCAAAGTAAATCAATAGTAATTGGCGAACGTTCACCTCTATTTTCAATTTTATTTTATTTTATTTTTCACAACAAAGCTATATTTCATATTGAGTTCAACCAAAACTGAGTATTGAATTCATCACAAGTATATATCGTTTTTGCAATTTATATGAATCGAACATAAAATCTTCTACAATCAAGTGGAGATAAATACCACTAAATTAGTGAGTAATTGGTTATTCTTAATGTAGGATCGTTTTGAGTCAAACAAGTTAATTGGATTACAACTGTATTTGCAAGTATACAGAGAATTTAACTCTCTACACCAAATTTTGGGCAAAAGATTTCAAATATTACAACTTGAAAGAATGGTTTTTCTTTTACTATAGTATTCTAGATTGATGTTGGGAATTGGCCTTGGGTTGGTTTCTTGGTTTGTTCATAAATTTTTTTTTATAACAGAAAATAAAAATGAAACACATGAGCTTGGGTCAAGATACATTAATTCTTTGGGTTCCATAATAAATAAAAAAAACATAAGTTGAAGAGCCAAGAAGGTCTTGATTGTTTCATGGGAGTCTGAACTTTGAAGCAACGCTTATATGTGAATCCCATGTGCCCAGATTGACTCTTAGAACTCTAGCAGTTTTTAAATCTCTGTCCACATGGGAGGAGATGAAAGAACTCAACCAATTAAGCTATACCTATACCCCATCGGCCTAGCTGTTGTTTTATTAAACATAAAAAAAGTTGCACAAAATTGACTTAGTCACCTTCACTTCGTTATCAATTGAAGGGTTTTAAATAAATGCTCCCTTACTATTGGAGTACTTAATAATAGAGCCACGAGTATGACCACAGAAAAATTCACGGACAAAATTAACAGTAAGAAATTATGACGATGCCTTAGCGTCAGTGCTGACTGAAAATAACATATTTGTATATGATCCTTATAAGATTTGGGTGGTTGCTGTGACAGGCTGGATGGGGCATATTAAATTCCATGCATAATAAAATAATGAGTTGGAAGGTTCTTCTTCTAGGGCACATGTTGCTTGAGGAAACGGGTCGTCACTCGTTTGTCATTTTTGGACATTGGACTCAGAAATTGAAGACGAAGAAGTGCCTGGTTGGTCGATATTCAGCAGAAATATGGATAGCCATCTTACTCTGTTGCTATATACTTGTCACATTATTCGCATCCAGAAGTTGGTTGAATGATTGACAATTATGTAAAAGAAGTGCAATGTCTAGATACTTGTTATGTGCATTATTGGCAGAGAAAAAATGCAGTGCTTGAGTGAGATCACCATCATCAATTCATATCATGGGATAATCATACTGTTTTGACAATATAGGATACTTATTCAAGTAATATAAGGTGGATTTTTACACTTATTACCAATTAGATACTCTAATTTTATCATGGTATCTGACTATTGAGCGTTTTTATTCGTTACTAATTGAATTTGGGTGTTGAATTCATTTCTATCATGGTATTATAATCTGTTATTTTCACATATCATACCGAATTGTCGCACATGTTTGTTCCCACACCATCTAAATGCTAAAAATTGTGTCAATTGTGGTTGTATGGTCTAGGCTAGCATCCTTTGGTGAAGATTAAGCAAAAGTTTCCCAACTAATATCTCTGCTTTCGTCATATATTTGACATGCAATTTGCAAAATAACAACTACGGTAGAGAAGAGAGATGCATGCATTGAGAGAGAAAAGTGGTTGATCAAACTTAGAGTATTACTATAACACCGAATACCGAATAATTTAAGTGTGATTTGGATTGATCTTGGCCTTTTAATTATATTCAATTTATTTGTGACTGAAGGGTGATTTGGATTGATCTTGCCATATATATTTAAAAATTCCATTTGTAAAAAAAGTCAAATAGTCATATTCATAAGAAATTCGTATCCATTAAAAAAAGAGAGAAGAAAAGTTACAAGCATCATTACATGGACATGCATTCAGTTTGATGTATTTGTAGACTGCTCATCAAGTCACCCAAAAGGGAAGGCAGAACGTCTAAACTTCTGCAATCTTAGTAATAATCAGTTCAAACATGCACTCTTAACTCTTTCATTGCTTCATTTTGAACAAATGAAAACTTAGATTTGGATCCAATCATATCAACCAAATTCTTCGATTTCGAAACGAAGCCGTTCTATTTTGGGGTGAGGCAGGTCTGAAAGACCCTCAGAGCCCTAGCCATTGCGGAAAATACTTGATCACTACTAGAAGATGGAGAAGAAATCCTATATCATAATCTAACAAAATAAAAGGCGACAACAATATGCTTGCTTGTAATGCAAGCATAGGCTTAAATATACAATACTCGTCGGAAGCAACCTTTATGAATGAGTGCAGTAAGACCAGATCAAAAAAGGGCTTTTTTTACTATCATAATCAAAGATGCATAAATTAATAATTGGTCAATATTTTGAGTGTTGGTCAAAGATAGAACAATAAGAACCGCACGTGTAACAATTGAAAGGGCCGGTGGTGCATAGGATAATGGCGGCTTGGTCCACCTTAAGCAACTTGCTTCGCATCCCAAGAGCTCCAACACCATATTTTATTAAAAGGATTATTTATTTAAATACTCATCAAATTTATATCTGAGTTGGATATTAATTTTTCAACTAAATTATTCATTCAAATAGTCTATACACACAATGATCAAATCACACCAGGAGCATTTCTACACTAAGGGCAGCCCAGCCCAAATTTTTCCAAAAAAAATATTGAATGGGCAGCTTTTCTCCTTTTGTTTTGTCTACAACTTCTCCTCTACTTCTCTTGACATATAGACATCAACTTCTCCTCTTGCTAACAATAACTTCTCTTTTTGGCAACAATTATTCAATTTATTCTCTCATTTTTAATTATCTTTTGCATCTTTAATTTGAAATTGAGTATTCTAAGGTTTAATTAGGAATGAATTAAAATATGGGGATTTTGTTGAAAATTAATTAGGACTTTAATTTTAGGAATTTTGTTGAAATGTTTGATTTGTTGTTGGTATTGTTGAGATGTTTGATTAAATGCATTGATGGTATTATGAGACTTGGTTTTTTTTTTTTTTTTTTTTTTTTTTTTTTGAGATGTTTGATTTCTCTTCATAGCAAAATATTTCCGAATCTTCCATTATTAAGTCTCAAGTTGAAAGAGTTGAGAATCAAAGAGTCGATGATGATCAAGATTTTAATATCAATTATCTTAAGTGTGATCTATGATTATGTTGTCTAGTTTTTTTGTATTTGTTAAACTTGTATTTATTGGTAGAGATGCACTTGAGGCTAAGGCTCATTACGTCCCTCTGACTATTTGTATCTTTATATGCTTATCAACGAAATCCACTCGCTGTTGAGTTTAGTATGTAAATTTTGCTCAATCGACTTTCGATTTCTAGAACCACTACTGACTCACACAAAGACTAACAGAGAAGAAAAGAAAAAACCAATAATACACAATTAAATCTGCTTATATTATATATAATTGGTCAAACATTTTGATTTGACCACATTGCAATTTTACACAAACACAATTGTCAGCACAGACACAAACACACCCGCCGACGGCTGAGGACAAAAACCAACATTGAAATTTTGTTCTTTATTTTCCCTTGCCTTCCCCAACGGCTTCTCTTCTAGGTTGTTGCCTTTCTTTAATCATTTTTCAATCTATATATATACATAAAATAGTGCTTCGTTATTTTCATAACACAAAAATCAAATCCCCAGTGATCTCAGACTTCATTTTTCTCAAAAACCCAGAATTTCAATCTCCATGGAATCTCATTCCTCTTCTTCTTCAGCCTCTTCCACCACCACTTACTTGTCCCAAACCATGCAACCAACAAAGGGTTTAATTTCAAATTCAAATTCACTTCCTTATCACCAATCTTCACTTCACTCTGTTCGGAGGCCTTCTTCTAAGCCATGGCGGAAGCCGGCGGTGGCTCCCCTGCCGCCGACCAAACCAAGAATCTACAAAGTGGACCCCATTAACTTCAAAGAGCTTGTGCAAAGCCTCACCAGCGGGCCGGGGTTTTTGGAGGCTCGATCTCTGCAGAGCGTCGCACCGGCGCCGATTGATGTTCAGAGAAATGCCTCTGTTCTGAACAATGTTCTTTCTTCTTCTTCTTCCCCGGCATCGAAAATTATTTCACCATTTTCAGCCATGTACAAGGACTTGGCTGAAACACTGGAAATGAGTTCTACACCTCATCATCAGAAGGCGCATGATAGCAATGTGGACCCTAGTCATCTGAGACTGAACTTGCAGTCACCTTCTTCCCATCATTGGTTTTCTTTTCCTCTGCTCAGCCCAGGAACTATGTCCAGTCTGGAACAGAGCACAGTGCTTTAGGACTATTTCAAACCCTAGCTAGGCATGAGCCTGTTATATAAATATGTCAGCCCAATTTCTATAAATTGTGGCCTTTTTGTTTTATTGTTTTTGTTTTAAGTTGTAAGTTTTAACCATCCTGTTATGTTGTAGGGAGTTTGATATAAATGCGCAGAAGCCATTTTTAATTTGAATGTGAAATTATGAATCAATGAAATCAGATGGGATTCAAGAAAATGTCTTGTTTGCTCAGAGTTCTTAAATTCTTAGCCACTTTTTCTGAATCCAAAATTTGATGAACTAGTCACGCAAAATAATGCAACCCTAGCGAACCTGATGGACTTTTATGACGGCCTACATACATGTGGTGGGTGTGGGTGCAGCAGACAACGTGAGACACAAGAAGGGAATCAAGTGGATACGACAAAGTGACTTCCGATAAGACAATATGTGATTCTATGTTTCAAGGGCACTGCATAATCAAGCTTTCTTTGACACAAACTGAATGGTAACAATTAAATGATAGGACACAAGTTTGTTTCCATTGAGAAAGCTATTAGTGACGCAACGTGAAAAATAAAGGCAATCAATCGGTAGTTTCAGTAAATATGAATACTGAAATCCACGATAGTTTCAGTATTCATGAATATTGAAATCCACCTGAAATATGAGAAAACCTCAAAATTTATTTTTGACAAAAATGGTGATGACAACCCTAAACCCTTACTAAAGTTGGAATATAACTACTTCAAATCCTAGAAGCACTATAAATTATAATTAAAGCCTACAAATGAAAATAATGAAATTTCAAAAACATCTCAAAACTTTTTATTTATTTATATAGTATAAGCGATAGTCTAAACTACATGGGAATGAGATTTCTTACTCAAACATACTACGTACTATGATGCCACGAGGGTTTGAACATGAGACAACTAGTCTGCAAGTCAATGCCAAAGGCGGATCTAGCCAGTTTTTGGCTAGGCAGCTAACCGGCTGAAAATTTTCAACAAAAAAGGTAGATATGTTAGCCCATCCAAAAAAAGAAAAGAAAAAGAAACCCTATTTCTAGTTGCCCAATCATCCATCAACATATTCTCTTCTCCTTGTTACACTTTGCAACTTTGTCCATAGAGAGGCAGGACATAGATGAAAGGATAAAGAAGGTAACAATCATTACGTCCTCTGACTATGAGTGTATCTTTTTATGTTTATTAATAAAATTCACTTGTACCGTTGACTTTAATACATAAGTTTTGCTCAAGTATCTTTCAAATCATGGATTCGCCACTAGTCAATGCCCTTCTCCATTAAACTAGACCTTGTTGGCAAAACATGCCAAAACTTAAACTGATGCTTTGACCTAGTAAACGAAGTTATTTGGCCAAAAAGTTCCATACATCACAGAAAAATGGTGAGTTTGACTCGTCTCGCCATTCTCTTCGAAACAACAGGTAATAAACTCAAACCAGAGCTCCGAGCCCAACCGATTTACATCCTTTGTGCAAGCATCGATTCAATTGCTCCTCAATCTCCTCCGCAAGCCGTTGGACATCAACTAGGGACAATACAAATTCTTTAGCATCTATGACATAACTAACTTGAAACAGAGTACAACAATAAGCTTATGAGTCCATGACACAAGTTAAGCACGTTTGGTTTCTTTAGCATGTGTCAGTCATCGAGAAGTAGTATGTAATGTGAAGTTCTTACAGCACTTCCAGCTGTTTGTTTTGCCAAGGCAAAAGGCCTCTGGCTGCAAAAATTCAAGCCACCAAGCAAATCCAGATCGGGTAAGAAGTGGGCACCACTAAGAGCACTTCCACCCTTATGGGCAAAGACAAGGCAATGACTGTTACTATTCATGTGAATAGTGGTAGCCCTTGCAATTTTGTTTCCACCCCTTTGGAATAGGGTAAGGGCAATTACTATTCACATGAGATATGAGGAGATGAATTTGTATAGAGTTTTGGGTGTTGGAAGTAAACAATATGGCTAGGTATTTATTTTAAAAAAAATTTGAATTTTTTTGTATTTGTTTCCAATTTTTTTTTTTAATTATTGATGTCATTATGACGTCAGGATTATGTCATTTTGCCCAAGCAGCAGCTCGGGCTGAACTTGTTTGTGGGCTTGTGGGACCCACCCCTTGTCCGGGCTAGACTTGGCGCGGCGGAGTTGGATTCTAGTCCTTGGGCCCCCTCTTGCCCGGGCTGGCCTTGAGCGCTGGAGATGCTCTAAGAATAGACAGGTCTGAAGGCAAGAGCCGAAGAAAAAAATGTCAAAAATATCAAAAAATTCATAATTTTATTTATTTATTTATAAATATTTACCAATTTTTTATTTATTAATCTCATATATATAAAAATAAAATTGATCCCATGTGAATAGTAATTGTCCTTAGGTTACCATGGCAATGGGAGGAAAGAAAAATAAAATCCTAGGGCATATACTATTCACGTGAACAGTAGTCACCCTTACTTGCCCTTGCGTTTTACCATGGCAATTAGGTAGAAATGCTTTAATGGGAAGTTCTTACAGGGATGCATACATCTGTGGAATTGAACTTTAAGCTGTGATCTTACCTATAGACATATCTAAAAGCAGAAAGACCTTTAGCATCTATTATGAAGAGCTTAATATGATTTAGGAATCTCATATCAGCCAATCAGCGCAGTCTAAGTCGATCTTCTGAGGTGGAACACTAGCATCAACTAGAAGTAATGTTAAAAAACAAACCTTAACCTTTACTGAATGAAGTTGAATCCATTCGAAGCAACTTCTGCAGTAACAAATCTAGAAAAGAAGCAAGTCACGAGGCATAAAACAAAAGTGAAAAATAAAAACACAAGAATATATTATAAATGTATATCCTCACTAAACAATAACTCATGTTTATTTTGCTTGAATGTTTTACATGTCAGTTCAGACAACATAACAAAACTGTGAGAAAAGGACTCCAGCATCAATATTTGGCAATCTTGTGTGGATCAAATACAATTGTCCCATGTCGAAAAATGAATTGTCCATAAAATAATAACTCTACTTAAATTGCACTAATGTAAACTCTCAACGTAAGATCCTAACGAACGTAAATAATAAAGTCGAGGACAATATCAATATCGATACGCTCTCTCTCGCCACCAGTCTAGAGAACATGGCCCCAACAATTACGCGTATTATTGCAACTGATTATCAACGTTGCCTGAAATGCTTTACATATACATCAAAGGAGGCCACACGGAAAGTTGAAAAGAATGACAACCAGAATATGGCTAGGGCCAACTCACTACCATATTATATTAATTATTAATACCACTCCCCATCATACATACAATGATCAAAAGACAAAGAATCGACGGAGAAGAGAGAGAGAGAACGTCCAATAATGGAACACATTTAAATCTGCTTATATATATATATATATATATAAATGGTCAAACAGAATTGATTTGACCACATTGCAATTTTGCACGTGTACAATCGTCAGAGCACACATATACCCGCCGACGGCTGAAGACAAAACCAGCATTGAAATTCTCGTCTTTATCTTCCCTTCCCTTTATCCAACGGCTTCACTTCTAGGTTGTTGCCTTTCTTTACTCATTTTCAATCTATATACATATATATATACACAAACTAGTGCTTCCATTATTTTCATAACAGACTTTAGTTTTCTCCAAAACCCGGAATTTCAATCCCCCTGGAATCTCATTCCTCTTCTTCTTCTTCTTCAGCCTCTTCCAGCACCACATACTTGTCCCAAACCATGCAACCAACAAAGGGTTCAATCTCAAATTCAACTTCACTTCCATATCAGCAATCCTCACTCCACTCTGTAAGGAGGTCTTCGTCGAAGCCATGGAGGAAGCCGGCAGTGGCTCCACTACCGCCAACTCCGCCAAGGATCTACAAAGTGGACCCCATTAACTTCAAAGACCTTGTTCAGAGCCTCACCGGCCCCCCGGAGTCTTTGGAGGCGCGAACTCTCCAAAGCGTTGCGCCGGCACCGATTGATGTTCATAGAAACGCCTCCGTTCTAAACCATGTTCCTTCTTCTGCTTCTTCCCCTGCATCAAAAATTATTTCACCATTTTCAGCCATGTACAAGGACTTGGCTGATACATTGGAGCTGAGCTCTACGCCTCATCATCAGAAGGTGCATGATAGCATGGTGGACCAGAGTTATCCGAGACTGAACTTGCAGTCACCATCTTCCCATCATTGGTTTTCCTTTCCCCTGCTCAGTCCAGGGACTCTGTCCAGCCTGGAACAGAGCACTGTGCTTTAGGAGGACCTATTTCAGAATCCCAATTTCTTTAAATTGTGGCTTCTTGTTTTTTCTTTTTCAAACTTTATATTTCTGGTTTAAGTTATAGCATCCTAGTATATAAGCTGTATGTGATGATGTGATTTTGGCTGCAATGCTAAGCTAGCTGCTCCAGAAGCCTTTTAATGTGAATGTGACACTAGTTATGAAATCAATGAAATAATTAAAGTGAGTGTCTTTTTAAATCAAATTATGGAGAAGTTGATGAACTATTGTTTTTTCGATTTTTGTTGCTCAAACTTATGAGACCCTTGATATGCAAGCAAACGAACAAAGATGTCAACGGCAAATTCTGGCCACAGCACGTGAGATTACCGTCAATGAGAGTGATTACATGTATCAAACTTCGTCAGATCAACCTCAACTAACATTTAAGTGAAGGATTCAAAATTTGCTGCCATTGGCGGCTGCAAACGAGTGGAGGACATGGGGTAGTCGTCATATGTCACCACCAATAATAACTTTGTTGTGGAAAGCTAAACAAATTTTCTGTTCTTTTCCTTTTTTTTATTTGGTACAGCCGAAAGTGAACAATTGAAAGGTATGGCACAAGTTTGTCGCTATTGAAAAATTATCAGGGACAAAAAGGACTGAAAACGATTAGCTAAATGGCACAGATCAAATTGAATAAGTACTTCTGTATAATCTGCAAAACATCATTCATCTATATATACACAAAGAATAGTACCACAGCCAAAGCTACAAATCTGAATCAATTTTAGTCGGGGATTTTTTCAGCAAAGTTCATCGTAACCAGTAACTGAAACTGTCGGCAAAAAAGAAAAAAAAAACACAGTAAAAAACTGAGTTGAAGTCCCTTGTTCTTTGTCCCCTTTTGAGGTCGAGGAATTAATCGGCCAGTATTATAATCATGCAGAGCTATTGATCCCAGTAGTTTCTAAGCTGTGACATGTGAAGCAAAAGTTCATCCCTGCCAAAGCCAGTTACACTGCTAGTCATTATCCATGGGGGTTGTACTCGGTAGTTTTCTCGGATAAACTGCTGAAAATCCCTGAGGTTCTCATCTGGCCTTTTACCTTTGCCCGCCTTCATTTTGTCACACTTGGTGAAGACAAAAGTCATTGGTATCTAAAAGCAGAAAGAGCAGAAAATTCATGAGCATCTTATTAAGGGGTTAACATAAAAGGATTTAATATCAGAGCACTGTACATTGTTACGTCCAAGCCAATTAGCGCAGTCAAGGTCGATCTTCTGAGGTGGAACACTAGCATCAACTAGAAGTAACACGGCAACAAGAGTATCTCGGTTCAAAAAGAAACCTTTCGTGAATGCAGACCAATCCATTCGAGCTGCTTCTGGAGCCTTAGCAAACCTACAAACATAGAAAATCAATAGACATAGAAAAGTAAAAAAAATGAAGAAGCAGAGAAGCTAACAATAACCAGTATTGAAACAACAGGATTTCCTCATTGTTTTGCTTGAAATGTTTTTACAGATGAATTCAAACAAAATTACCAAACAGAGATAAAATGAGAGGATCAAGGCTTAGCAATCTTGTTACCAACATAATATTCATGTTTACAACTGACTGCCAACATTGCAGCCCATACTGAAACTTCAAAAGAATATCAACCAGAATATGGCTATGGCCATCTCACTATGCTCTTGACAGGTCATTCTATGATCTTATCTACAGCACTATATAAGGTCTCTTGGTCATTGTTAACATTAATTATGCCTATGTTTGTTAGAGTGAATAAGGATGAGCACAGGCTCCAGCACCATGGTCATAACTGCTAGCCCTTCCCCAAGAGAGCGGTGATGCATTCAATTCTAGTTGAATTGAACACTGATTCATAAGCAGTTGACTTCCCCAAGAGTGTGGTGATGCATTCAAATTCTAATTAAATATTTTTGTAAGCAATTTACTAAAGGCAGAGATAGGTGGGTTTTTTTATGGAGAAAAATCTCCATTCTATAGAAAAATAATCACAACGCATATCAGCTGGAGTTCATTCCTTGATGCTAACTAGTGCATGTCAAACAATCTGAAACTTAGAACTAGTAATTTAAAGGAAAATACCATGAAAATAAGTTTAGTAGCAGAGAAATGTATCTGATCTCAAAGCAAACTGTCTGCACCACTGTTACTAAATTCAGCTCACAACCAAGTTCAGAAAACTTAGTCGCTTAGATTAAGAACTATTGAAACCACTAAAAATATTAATGTTATAGCACATAAATATCGAACGTTTGTTATAAACTCAAATCACCAAAGCCTCAATCAAAACTACTTGTGATCCTACAGAGAGTTGGTTGGTCTTGCAGAGAGCTGTAGTCTAAAGGAAGCGGTAGGCCTTGAAATGCATGTCACATAAGATGCTAGACAACAGCATATGAGTGAAAAATTAGTTTTATGTGCTTCATATGTCTTCCCATAACTAATACTTACTCTTGATTAATTCACTGACACATAAAATTCCCTTGCATCCCCTCTTTCAAAAGAAAAGAAAAGAAAAGAAAAGAAAAGAAAAATTATTGCATGCCATGAAAAAGCTCAAACCGAACTGAATTAGAGCACCTACTTCCAACAAAGTTCGAGACTTTCTGCAGCCATATTTATAGTTTTCCTATGTAAAACTAGTTCCAATTTTCAGAAATGGAGATCCATACAACTTTATTACCATATAAATACCAGTCAGAGATCATGAATCCCAAAAAGGAAAAAGGTTGCAGAGAATGCAAAAGGTTGTCTTTTGCAAATTTAAACCTTACATTACACCTAATAGTACAAGAAGGAAGGATGAGGGCCTTACCCATAACCAGGCAAATCCACAAAGTACCAACTTTTGTTCACCAAGAAATGATTGATAAGCTTAGTCTTCCCTACACAAAATTACACAAAACTCAGCAAAACCCAGATACTAAAACACATTAAAACTGCAAAAACTTAAAATTCTAAGAACAAAAAGAAACCTGGTTTCTTAGATGTAAGTGCAACATCCTTCTTGCGAACCAAAGCATTAATAAGTGAGGACTTGCCCACATTGGAGCGACCCAGAATAGCAAATTCGGGTCGGTCATGTTTGGGGCAATCCTTAGCTCTAGCACTGCTTTTCACGAACTCCACCTCCTTAATCTTGGCGTCACCCGCATAGGGTCCAAGCACGATATTCGACCCGGATAGCACCATGTTCTCGGTAACCTCGGCCGGGTCAACCCCGGGCGGGATAAACATGAGGGTCTTGTCGAAGATTGCTGGGTTAGCTGTGGCTTTTGAAGCTGAAACATGGCGGTTTGGGGTTGGGTTTCGAAGGGTCGGGTTTGAGATGAGGGTTCGGAAGGAGAGAGTGAGAGGCTGAGTTTTTAGAGGTGGAGAGGAAGATGGTGATAAGAAGGAAGTGATTTGCGGTCTCAGGAGGCGGTTTCTCAGTAACATTTTTTGGGGTTCAAGAGAGGTTTTGAGAGGCTATAAGGCCATCTAAACCATTTTTAGACAACGGATTGGAGGCTCGACTTATCTGTGGAACAAATTTGGATTCAGTACATTCATATTTCAGTTTTAAACTTAAAAATCTTGTGACCCAAAATAAAAAAGTTGTTGCAAAATATACAGAGTATGATAGCAGTGGAATTGTATTTACTTTTTATTTTTTATTTTTTATACAAGCGATATTAGGAGAGTGATGAATCGAACTTAGGACCTCGGGTGCAGGAGTAAGGCCATCTCTAGCTGGGGAGAGCCATATTTAGCCATCTAATAAATGATTTTAACCGTCTCCAACAACAAATGGCTAAATTTAATATTTTAATAGTTTTTAGTATATCATATAAATTTATTAGTTAATTTAATTAAATTACTATTTATATCTTATTTAAAATACATTTTAGAAGAGAAATATTTTGGGATATGATTTTTGACATCCACATGTCGGCACGTGATTAGCCCTATAGATTTTTTATTAGAATTTTTCTCCACTTGGCACATCTTATCATGATGTAATCCCAACAATTTTGCAAATAAGATTTTCGAGAGCCACGTGTCGTTACGTGATTAGCCCTCCATATTTTCAATTGGATTTTTGTCCACGTGGCACATCTTATCTTCATCTTCAAATGTCAATCAAAGAGATGTTTTGGGTTTCATATCTCACACATTCATCTAATTCCTCTTCAATTCCTCGCTTTAATTTGTATAATTTGTCATTTTAATTCAATTGTACAATGGATTCCAATTAGGGTTCGTCTTCCAATTCCGAATTGGAAGACCAATGAGAGGAGCGGAGATGCCAACTGATGGAGGAAGATGAAAAAGATGATACCTGAAGGCTCAAAAAGGATCTTATGGCCGCAATTGCCGCATCCTGGGTGTGTGAGGAAATGTCCCAACAAGTCGATATGCTCTCGTACCTCAAACAACAACCTACAAGAGGATATTGTTGAACATCTTTGGGGCAAACGAGCACTAGAATGATGAGCGGCCTTATGACATTAGTCTTTTGTGTTTGCAACAAATAATAATTGACAATACATTGTCATGTTCAAGTCTTTGTCTTGTTTTAGAAACAACTTTGGTGTTTGCAACTAATAGTAATTGACAATACATTGTCATGTTCAAGTCTATGTCTTGTTTTAAAAACAACTTAAAAATTAATTTAAATGGAAAAAGATGAAGGATAGTTTGTAAAAAAAATGAAGAGAATGTGAGAAACTATGTTAAAAGGATGAAATAGAAGGAATTTTGGACTATATCCTTAAATATAGCCCTCACTTTTTATTTATTTTTTTTTCCCCAAGAATCAAATACTTTTATTAAAGGCGAACACGAATATTAGCATCTCCAGCTAAAGTATTAAACAACCAATCTAGAGGTACAAAATCCCAAAAGTAACTACCACCTAACCTACACGCAAAAGTTGCAACCTCATGAGTAGCTTTGTTGTAGCTGCGAGGTGCAAAAATAAAAATTACTTCTTGGAATTCTCGAATCGCGGTCTGGATGTTGAAGAGAATACTATCTACCTCCACATCCACCACCCTCTTCCTCTTCACCATCTTGATGGTAACTTGGGAATCAGACTCCACCACCACCCGAGAGAAACCCCCTTGTTGACAAGCAAACAGAACTACCCTTATAGCGTCCATCTTTGCCATGAGAGCCGACCCATAAAGAATATCTCCTTGACCACTCTCTTGCATCATCCAACCTGCAAAGTCCCGAATC